TCTGTGCTCCATATCTTTAGCTTCAATTTTACCATAGATTCGAGAGGGCTTTCCCCTTTTGGCATGTTGTCACACAATCCAATACCATTTCATTCAACTGTTTGTCAACATCTTCAATGGGTAAGCTGGCATCTATGGTTTGCAAGTGTGTAATGAAACAGATTCACCATAGACTTAAAAGCTGAATGAAACTATATTTGCAATTATGATATCTTAAGCTAGTAAATTGGATAAATGTAAATTAAACACACGTACACACATACAGTAATTGTTTGGCTAACAAAATATATATAAATGAAAATAAAAAACCATCACCGAAATCAACAAAGCCCAAGTTCGGTTTGAGCTAAAACATCATTTAATGCCTTCAATGTTTTTTTTTCTTCCCCACTAAAATTGCATATGAAAACCAACATACATCTTGAAAATATACTAAACCATAATTTGGTGTTGAGGCAAAAAAAATCATGATAAAATCTAAGAGGGCATCTATAGGATGGCATTATAAGGAGTCAAATAAAATAGTTTTCTGGTGAGAGTAACAACACCAGACTATTTTCCATTGGCATTAAAAATAGAAAAAAAATAGCTATTACCTTCCATGAGGTGTCATGGAGCATCTGATGGGAACGGGCAACTTTTTTTTGAAACTCAAGCTACTCATATCTCTCACCTCCATAGCCTCCTTTTTCAGCAGCTTTCTGGCAATTTCAAATTGACCTTTTCAGTTGCCCTGACAACAGTTTTAAATGGTGGACATGCACACAAAGGAAACTGATAAACAGTTTCTCTTCATTTACACCATATCATACAACAAAAACATAACAACCCATGGGCAAATCAAGTATTTTTCAACATGACATTCAGTTCACTAATAGTTTGTTATAAGGCTGAAATGAGTCTTAAATAATAAAGCACCCTTAATGACAACAAAGTCTGGGTACAACAATATTGTAACAGTGGCAGCACCTGGGTAGGACAACCAGTGTGGCTTATTCACCTGGGCAACGAGAACACAATGTTGCAGCAACCCAACCATGTATAAGAAAAAGTATAAGAAATGAATAAAAGGCGTTTCTTACCTCAATAGAACAAAAACAATCCTTCTAAATCAGTACTTCATTTATTAAAAAGGAAATCAAGAGCGTTGTCATAACATAATATGAAGCATTCCTCCTAATCAATTAGTGCCCAGTTTTTTAAGTTTTGTTCCCACTTGTTCCAATTCTTAGCAAACACACAGTAATCATAAGTAGATTGAAAGATTATCCAATAGAGTAAAGTCAAAATCCATTTTTCTCAAAACCAACACAATGACAATATAAGAATGAACCTAATAAGAGTAACAATTTTAAAATAAATAAATAATTGACCTCATCACATAAAATCAATTATATATATCATCTAACTAAGAGTTGATCTCATCAAATAAATAATTGATCTATCACATTTAAAAAAAAAGAAAAAAAAAAGAGTTACCAAGAGTTGCATCATCCCTTTTGCATACTTAAAAATGTATCTGATTGGGTTAACTCTTTCAATTTTTTAGGAAAAGTTTGTGCTGCCTTTGAGTCTCCAATCTAAGTAAACATACAAAGATCCCAAAGGAAAACCAAAAAGAATTATATTCTGAGAAAAATTCAAAAAGAATTTAGATTTTAAATATTTGAAGTTTAAAGTGGAGAAATAAATTGAAATGTTGGATTCCAATATTTGGTTTAACTATTTCCTACAAAGCCCCAAGTAAATTCTTAAGATTTGTTTGGATTTCAAGTCAGCACATAGAGTGGTGACAATGAAGCTTATTAAGCATACCACCAAGAACTATGTCCATTTATCTCAAAAGGCTTCCCAGCAAAATGGTTAACGATTATTATTTCTCTATGGATATTTGATTTCAAAGCAAGACTAACTGCTTACTACTTGAAGCAACTTCGCTAAAACCAATCTTGAGAATTTTTCTATATTAAACAAAAAATATTTATAATGCGCAAATCTGGGGTGAAGAACAGAATGTTGAATCCCTTCCACGGAGTGTTAAATCATAAAATACCAATAATTTGTTTTTACTAGTATTGCTAGCATGTTTAACTGAAAATAGGTTTTGAATTCTAAAAATGAAACTTTAACTTAGCATACTAAACATACTTTATGAAAACAATTTGGAAATTGAAACTGCAAATCACTCATAATGCAGCTCTATGTTAATCTGAAAATCACTTGAACACTACAGAAATTTTCTTTTTTGTCTTCGTTTCTTTATTCGTATCAATAGGACTTTAATTCATTAGCTTGCATACTTGTATCAATTAGTAATATGCTTTTTTGATGCTGTGTTTATTGGCGGGAAATTTTAAGTGTTCTAAAATAGCAAAAAAGGTTGAACATTCTTTTTCTTTTGAAAATTTGGCTATCTTTCATATTGGTTCAATGGATATCTATATGTGTGTTTATTTGGTGGGTTTGGTGGAAACGAACTGTTGTACCTGGTGGGCATGGATATTAAATATCCTTAAAATAGACAAAGGCCTTATTTTTTTGTAGCTAATGGGGGGTGCTTAGCTTTTTTATCTTGAAGTTTGTGCTGAAGTGTTTGTGTTGTTTCTATTTCCATTTTCAAAACCGTTGCTCTTTCATAATAAAATCCTCTTCTTGAGTGATACACTGACTATGAGAGATTGAGAGTAAGGTGAGGCAATGAGGCTATTAGTGATTACCTATAGGCAAGAGGCCACTTGGGAAAACAGAAGCTGAAGGCAAGATTTGAACTTAAAAGGCCTTGTGGAAAGTTTTCTTCATCAGAATTCTATACTTGGGAGGAATAGTAGAGGCGGGGTGGGCCTATATTTAGGTATAATTTCCTGGACATTAATAACTGTTAGTTGCTTACATACGTGTTTTAAGCCCTGTAGATGTTTTGATCCATATCTAATCTTAGAAATCAACCCGTCGTGCTTAATGAACAACAAGAAGAACTAGCTGCACAAATTGAGAACAATTTGTTTCTTGAATCTTTAGCCACCTTTAACACACTTCCGTATTACTGTCTTTTTTTCTCCATTTGTTGTTGTTTTCTCTCTTAATTAATGGGGTTTACTAGGCTAGGGTATGTTTTTCTTTTGTTAATTAAGAGGGGTTTGAATGATGGTAGTATCTTTGGTGTTGTTTTGGATGGTTCTTCACCAACTTTGGTGTTGTGTTCTTCATTTAAGTATAGATCCTACTACATTATTATTGATTCTGCAGCTGGACTGTACATTATTTTTCTAAGAAAATATATTTGTCAACAAAAATTGATACCCTATTTTAAGGTTTGTGTAATTGGTGACAATTTTGGAAGGAAGTGGAGAAGAGAAAATATAGAATAGGTAAAGAAACGGTGATTTTGATGAGTTTCTAACAAGTGAAATGTACAATCTTAATCATTACATTGCTTCAGAAAGTGTCTTTGACATCTTACTCTTAAGAAGAGGATAGTTTTAAACAAATGCGAAACTAACAAAGCATGAAAATAAAAGAAAACAGAAGAAGAAAACAGAGGGGAGAGAGAGAGAGAGAGGGGTGGGTCTTGGCCGCTGCTAAACCTTGATTTTCTTGTAGTGAATGTAAAGTATCTGCCAAAAAAATAAAATTCGCTAATAATTACTCCCTTTGTCCTATATTGTTACTCCTTATTTCCAATTTAAGATGTCCAAAATATAGTCATCTTTGAAAATTGAACATAAATCTTTCTGATTTTACAAAACAACCTTATAAATATTGGAAAGTAGGAATAAAGGGAAATTTTTGGAAATCAATGCCTTTTTAATTTGAATTTGAATTACAAGTCACCTTAAAAAGTTAGAATTCCCAAAAGGAGCTAACATTGTGAAATGAACATAATAGAATATGTTCATAACAAGTTCAACTAAATTATAAGTTTATAACATTGATGTCAATCTTTACAGAAAAACAAGAGCATTAAAAGACACTCAGAAAGCCAAAATTGTATCACAAAAATTGAGAATATAGGTTCAATAATATATCACTACCTCAACCCTTCCAAAAACTTGATGGCTGAAGGGAAGAATATAATGACTTTAAAACATCAGGATGAGAATCCAATGAATTATACTGGTGTACGTAACCTACAAAAAAAAAAAAAAAAAAACTGGTAGAGTAGATCACTAGCTTTAGTTTCAATACTGATTCATCCAGGAGGACTGGGATCAGTTTAACAAATCTGACCAAATTTGTCAAAAGTAATTCATACCACAATGTTAGATTAAAAAATAAAACTAAAAAAATGTAGAAAGATAAGTGAAATATTATCAACAACACATGCTTGAACTTAATAATGACAATAATAAATAAATAAATAATGAAAACCGAACTTTGTAGCAGTATTTTCAAATTACAAGTATATAAATCGCACTTGATTTTGGAAACTGCTAGAATACTAGCATAAAAACTTCCAATTTCAAACTCAAAAAAAAAAAAAGAATCGAAGAACATAGAAGGATCGAAAAGTAGAGAAGAAGAAAAAGAAAAGTCGAAACTAACTTGTTAGGGCTGCAAGTTGAAGCTGTGTTGAAGAAGAAGAAGAATTGAAGCTCTATTCAAGAATAAGAGTTGCAGCTTTTGTTTACCCTAAACCGATTGATGTCGAACAAGTTTAGGGCTATGTGAGAAAAACATAGATAGATATTAGATAGCTTCAAAGATTTGGAAAATCGCTTCAAAGATTTAGAAAATAGCTTCAAAGTGTTGAGGTGTTGGTTTTAATCGCCTTATGCTTCATCACGAATTACCTCAAATTTGGATAAAGAGGATTGAGAAGAGGGATTGAGATACAAAGAATGATGCAATTACATACCTAACAGAGGAAGAAAAGGTCGCCGACAGAAGTAATAGTCGCCGATGGAAGCAATGGTTGTCGACAAACTTCGGGTGCCTCTATTTACACACCACTAATTTACTCATCCCACACCATTTTTTTAATTACTATTTTGACCATAAAGAGAATTACCAAAATATCCTCTTCTTCTCTATCTCTTTTTTCTCTCTCCTCCGACGCCCTAACCAACAGCTCCTTCTTCCGCCGCCGCCGCCGCCGCCAGTGACTTCACCAATGGTCATCGATATGTTTTTGGGTCAGGTACGGGGCATCTTGGCACAACTGGGCTATGAGAAGCTGGATGAAATAATTGGCCGAACAGATCTACTAGGACCACGAGATGTATCGTTGATGAAAACACAGCATCTTGATCTCAGTTATATTCTATCTGTATGTATTAAGAAAGCTGTCTGTTTTCCCTATCATCTCAACATTCACTTGTTCTTGCCTTATTGTCTATATAAAATATACCTTTTTACATTTCATTTTTTGACAGTGTGTTGGATTACCAAAGTGGAGCAGTACTCGAATCAGGCTTCAGGATGTTCATAGTAATAGCCCCGTTTTGGATGATATTTTACTCTCAGATCCGAAACGGGGGAGGTTGAAGAGTAGATCGCAATGGTGGCTTGAAGAAGAGAGGGCAAGGGGAAGGGGCTAACACCGGCGCCAGCGACAGAGCTGGGTTGCAGGTGGTGACGGTGGTGGGGTGTGTGATTAAGGATAAAAATGGAACATTGTGTGTGTATTGAACAAATTTATTATTTATTAAATTATTAAGGGTGTGAATTAAGTATTGGTGTGTCTTAAGATGATATGTGGTGTGTAAATAGAGGCACCCACAAACTTCAGTCGATGATGGAGAAAATGGTTTTGCTATTCTCCATGTGTCTCTTTATTTACCTTATTTCTTTTAATTCTGATAGTGCTAGGTGTTTTTTTGAATTTTTTTTTTGTTTGTTTGCCGCTAAATCTTTCATTTTGGCTCTTTTCATTTTTCAGGTCAAATATTTCATGGCAATAATTGCTTGTCGTGTAAAGTGAACTATACTTAATGATAGCAATTTGTGTGTCATGAAAAATGCAACATTTTAAATAATTGGCTTTTTGTGCATCGTGAAAAGTGCAATTTTTAATGGCTAGCTTTTTGTGGAGGAATAGTAGAGGCGGGGTGGGTCTATATTTAGGTATAATTTCTTGGACATTAATAACTGTTAGTTGCTTGTATACATGTTTTAAGCCCTGTAGATGTTTTGATCCATATCTAATCTTAGAAATCAACCCGTCGTGCTTAATGAACAACAAGAAGAACTAACTGCACAAATTGAGAACAATTTGTTTCTTGAATCTTTGGCCACCTTTAACACACTTCCGTATTACTGTCTTTTTTTCTCCATTTGCTGCTGTTTTCTCTCTTAATTAGTGGGGTTTACTAGGCTAGGGTATGTTTTTCTTTTGTTAATTAAGAGGGGTTGGAATGATGGTAGTATCTTTGGTGTTGTTTTGGATGGTTCTTCACCAACTTTGGTGTCGTGTTCTTCATTTAAGTATAGATCCTACTACATCATTATTGATTCTGCAGCTGGACTGTACATTATTTTTCTAAGAAAATATATTTGTCAACAAAATTTGATACCCTATTTTAAGCTTTGTGTAATTGGTGACAATTTTGAAAGGAAGTGGAGAAGAGAAAATATAGAATAGGTAAAGAAACGGTGATTTTGATGAGTTTCTAACAAGTGAAATGTACAATCTTATTCATTGCATTGCTTCAGAAAGTATCTTTGACATCTTACTCTTAAGAAGAGGACAGTTTGAAACAAATGGGAAACTAACAAAGCATGAAAATAAAAGACAACAGAAGAAGAAAATAGAGGGGAGAGAGAGAGAGAGAGGCGAGAGAGGGGTGGGTCTTGGCCGCTGCTAAACCTTGATTTTCTTGTAGTGAATGTAAAGTATCTGCCAAAAAAATAAAATTCGTTAATAATTACTCCCTCTGTCCTATATTGTTACTCCTTATTTCCAATTTAAGATGTCCAAAATATAGTCCTCTTTGAAAATTCAACATAAATCTTTCTGATTTTACAAAACAACCTTATAAATATTAGAAAGTAGGAATAAAGGGAAATTTTTGGAAATCAATGCCTTTTTAATTTGAATTTGAATTACAAGTCACCTTAAAAAGTTGGAATTCCCAAAAGGAGCTAACATTGTGAAATGAACATAATAGAATATGTTCATAACAGGTTCAACTAAATTATAAGTTTATAACATTGATGTCAATCTTTACAGAAAAACAAGAGCATTAAAAGACACTCAGAAAGCCAAAATTGTATCACAAAAATTGAGAATATAGGTTCAATAATATATCACTACCTCAACCCTTCCAAAGAACTTGATGGCTGAAGGGGAGAATATAATGACTTTAAAACATTAGGATGAGAATCCAATGAATTATATTGGTTTATGTAAAAAAAAAAAAAAAAAAAACTGGTAGAGTAGATCACTAGCTTTAGTTTCAATACTGATTCATCCAGGAGGACTGGGATCAGTTTAACAAATCTGACCAAATTTGTCAAAAGTAATTCATACCACAATGTTAGATTAAAAAATAAAACTAAAAAAATGTAGAAAGATAAGTGAAATATTATCAACAACACATGCTTGAACTTAATAATGACAATAATAAATAAATAAATAATGAAAACCGAACTTTGTAGCAGTATTTTCAAATTACAAGTATATAAATCACACTTGATTTTGGAAACTACTAGAATACTAGCATAAAAACTTCCAATTTCAAACTCAAAAAAAAAAAAAGAATCGAAGAACATAGAAGGATCGAAAAGTAGAGAAGAAGAAGAAGAAAAGTCGAAACTAACCTGTTAGGGCTGCAAGTTGAAGCTATGTTAAAGAAGAAGAAGAATCAAAGCTAAGTTGAAGAAGAAGAAGAATTGAAGCTCTGTTCAAGAATAAGAGTTGCAGCTTTTGTTTACCCTAAACCGATTGATGTTGAACAAGTTTAGGGCTATGCGAGAAAAACATAGATAGATATTAGATAGGTTCAAAGATTTGGAAAATCGCTTCAAAGATTTAGAAAATAGCTTCAAATTGTTGAGGTGTTGGTTTCAATCGCCTTATGCTTCATCACGAATAACCTCAAATTTGGACAAAGAGGATTGAGAAGAGGGATTGAGATACAAAGAATGATGCAATTACATAACTAACAGAGGAAGAAAAGGTCGTCGACGGAAGTAATTGTCGCTGATGGAAGCAATGGTTGTCGACAAACTTCAGTCGATGATGGAGGAAATGGTTCTGCTATTCTCCACGTGCTCTTTATTTACCTTATTTCTTTTAATTCTGATAGTGCTGGTTGTTTTTTTGATTTTTTTTTTTTGTTTGTTTGCTGCTAAATTTTTCATTTTGGCTCTTTTCATTTTTCAAGTCAAATATTTCATGGCAATAATTGCTTGTCATGTAAAGTGAAATATACTTAATGATAGCAATTTGCGTGTCATGAAAAATGCAACATTTTAAATAATTGGCTTTTTGTGCATCGTGAAAAGTGCAATTTTTAATGGCTAGCTTTTTGTGAGTCGTGAAATGTTCAATATTTTTAATAGCTAGTGTACGCGTGTCGCGTATAGTTAATGTATTAATAGCATGCCGTATGCATGTCATAGAAAGTTTTATTGTTTACGACTAACATTGCAAGCCGTTAAAAAATATCATTATTAGCATTCGCGACCTACACAATAGACACGTCGTGGTTGGGAAATTATTTACGACATGCAAAAAAATAAGTCGTAAAAGTAAGAAACCACGGCTTGCATTTACTGTATATCGTTGATGTGAAGCCGTAAAAACCTAATTTTGTTGCAGTGAATGGAAGGTATGTTACTAATGACTTAATGTTTGAAGTTAGACTGTAATTGACTATATGTGAAAACATTTTGTGAAACCAAATGGAGTTGAGGAAATTATTTTAGAAATACAAATAATGATTACCAACTATAGGAAAGCAATGAGTTTTTCTTGAAATGTTGAAAAGAGTTTCTCTTTGAAAAATATATGTATCTATATGAATTTTGAATATTAAAAAAGACATGTTCTATATATGTATAATACTGAGCATCATGATCATTTTTATCTATAAAGTGTTATTGTTTTATAATCATTGTAGATCCCTACTGGACCTTCTGTGTTCATCCCAATCGTTGAAAAATTTTTAGGTGCAAAATTGGATACGTTGTCCAAGAACTAAGGAGTAATTTTGTTGTGTTTTAGATATGGAGTAATGGTTGTAGAAATGTTCATGTACTATAAAAAGATTTATTGCTATTCATGGTAATCAATTTAGTCTATAACTTTCTATGTAAGCCTAAGGGCATGTATTGTAATATTATGTATTTGAATATTTCATCATTTGTAATCTTACTTCCGTATTTATGTTATGTAATTAGACTTTAATACAGAATCAAGTAATAAAATTTAGGGCTTTACAATCCTAAATACACATATCACTAATGCACCACAATTCAATAGACAACCTGTAAAGCAATGCAACTAATGGCTTGACTTTTATTTTCTTTATTATTTTTTTTTTGGAGTGACTGTGCAATACCTAGGTCCCTTAAGCTTTCAATTAACCCAGGTAGCAAGTGTTAAGCCAATGACTCCCAAGCCAAATGGTTTTAGGGCACTAGGTGCGAAAACACCCCAAGGGATTTAATAACTTGAGTTAAAAAAAGGTTACAAACCCAAACTAGTCAATTTTTTATTTTTATTTTTGTTTTCAAATCTCTTAACCTTTCTACTCAATTCCTACAACCAATGACTTAAGCTAGTTAACTTTAAGGCATTAAATGTAGGGACACCTCAACAAGCTTAACAACTTAATTTAGAAGGCTACAGATTCAAACAAATGTTTTGTTTTTTATTTTATTACTCATTTTATGGATTATCAAATTCATCACAAAATATTAACATATATACTAGTATCAAGTTCCAATATCCACTTATTGCGTTCATGTGCTCAAGTGATTTAGTAACGAATGATAAACTCTCTATTAAGCACAAATAGAAATTACTACTACATCACTTATTTCCTAACACAATTTAAAAGTTTAACTCAATCAACGAATTCAAACTATAATCTCAATCATTCAATATCTCACATCAACTATCTAAATTGGATAATCATTTGAATTCAAAAGTTGAAATTCATCACAAAATATCAACATTTACACTAGTATCAAGTTTTATGATCCACTTATTGTGCTAACATGCTCAAGTGATTTAGTAAACGAATGATAAACTCTTTATTAAGCACAAATATAAATGACTAATATAGCACCACCTATCTTGCAACACAATTTGAAAGTTTAACTCAGTCAATGAATTCGAACTATAATCTCAATCATTCAATATTCCACATCAACTACCTAGACTGGATAATCATTCGAATTCAAAAGTTGAAAGTACGACATCTCTATCACAAGGTAAAAGTTTTCTGATTTTTTTTCCAATCTAAATGCAAAATCACTGCCCCCAACATAAATATCAAATTGTCCTCAATGGAATACACCAAAGTATACAATTGGGTCAAGTACATAAAGGCAAGGAAAGATATCACTTGATATATAAGTAGAGTAGATGAATAAAGATGCAGGTGAGAGAGAACCCCCCTCCCCTAACTTGAAGAATAGTGTGCAATTGCAAAAAATTAGTATCCAGCATCCAAGAAAGAGGAAGTAAAATAAAAATAGAAATAAAATAAAATCTAAAACTAAGAAAAAATAAAATCAAAAGTGTAAAAAAAAATATATATAAAATA